AATAATAATTGTTTTTTGTATTTTAATGTTTTTAAGCAGCTTAAATAAATCAACTCAAAATTCCAGGAACAAAAGCTACCGAATAATATGGTATATACTGTCAAGCTTCAAAATTCAAAGAAAAATGATTATGTCAAATAGAAAATAACAAGTTATAAATTATTCGGTACGAACAAGAAAACTTCATCTTTTTTTTTTGCTAGGTTTCAAGCACAGACTTCTTCGTTTGTAACTCCAAAAATATATCCATAGCTTTTTATGTCATTTTACCGTAATTTATGTCTTCAAGAATCACAGAATTCAATTTCTGTGACTTTTTTTTTAATTTCCCTAAATGACATGAATTATCGCGGACAATTTTTTATTAAAGCATCAAAAAATAAGACGAAACGAACTCTCAGCACTTAATACGATCATCTTCAAGGACTTGACATTGTGTAACGGAACAAAAAAATACTTTGACAGATTTCATTAAATATTCTGCGGCTGTATTTTACGCTTTCACAGCATTACATTGAAAATAAATTTATTTTTTTTTTGTAGACTTTTCTTGCCGATTGTTCAGCGGCTTCATCACGACTGTTACCAGGAAAAAAAATTAAGCATGAGTCGATAATTGAAGATGATGAAATTCAATTATTTTCTTCACGCTCCTAGGAAGAAAATTCAATTATTGGGTATTATTGAAATAAGGAAACTTTTCCATAAGCTTCATGCTGATTTCATTTACGAGAATTAATTATTTTGAATGCATGATAAATGGCCAATACTTTGTGTTAATTGCCACATTAGAAGTGGAGGAATTGGACGAGAAAAAAAATCTTTGTGTAATAAATTATGTTTTCATTAATATTGTTTGTCCAGTGTTGCTAAATCAGATTTAAAGGTTAAGGATAGATAGGTATCACCAAATATTATGTCAAAGCATTGGCTATTGCATCAGTCTAACATCAGCCTTAAAAATAGTCTGGATACCAAGCCAAATATTGTTGAAACTTTAGAGTGTAGATTATCGATTTTCGATTCTAGAGTAGGTTTGTAAAATCGAAACTTAAACAAACCATGTTATTCTTATGTCTTGGTTTGATATGTCATTGACAATAAGACTAATCTTGTTCTAAATATCTTGACAGCAGTTACAAGAATATCCAAGTCAAAGATAAATTTTCATCAAATCTTCTTAAGACTACACAAACAACCAAAAAACAACACTGAATAATACTATTGGGGGTGGGACTTTAACCTAAATTAGGATAGTAAATAGAGATTAGATGCGTGGGAATTTATTAATTCTCATTGATTTAATTAATTATTCTATTCATTGGCTTGAATTCAGGAATAATTTTTTTTATTTCTACATTTTTTTTCCCGAAAGAGCTTTGTTCAAAGGAAAAGTAATTAGGCGAATTACTTTTGATGGTTTCGATTGTCAAATGATTTTTATTTGCTTTTATTAAGCACGAGAGAAAAGTGTGGGAAATTTTTGTGTGTTTTCTGTGAAGAGTCATTCATCTGTGTTAATTATTGGTGTACTGTTTCCATACCTTAATTAATTGTGTTAAAATTTGCACTTTTGAAACATTATTCAACTCTTAAGGTGAAGTGTTTTATGTCAAAGGATATGCGGAGTGATGATCAATTAAAATATGGTTGATTGCTAAAGTTTTAAATAGTTTGAGAATTTAAAGAGTGTTTGGATTCTGATTCGACCTTTATTTTAAAATATATGAACTTGTCTCACTTACTTGACTCTCATGTATCACTTTTTTGAAATACTTATAAACCCATTTTCAATGCAATTGGACGTACTTATATAGGAAATCAAGTCTTCTTGATTATTTCCAAAAAAACAATAAAAATTCAAGAATTCGAAAGAAATGAAATTTTTATTAAAAAAAAGTTTGAATTAAAAAGAAGATTAGGTTCAAAGGTAATTGAAGTCGTTTCACGGTATGTTAGGAAAATTCTAAGAACGAAACAATAAGAAGAATAGGAGAAGAAATATGAACATTTAAGATGAAATTCCGTATGGTCGTTAAAGCTTAAAGCTTTTCATGATATTTTATTTCCTTAATCCTACACAATATAATTTTTATTTATAAAGACTCTCGTATAATATCAAAAAATTGAAACTAAATGAAATAAATAAATTTATGATGACGATAATAGAAATTGATGGTTCCATTTATCAGCAAATAACATAAAATATTTTATGACTAGATTTTGTTTTTTTTGCTGAACATGATATTAGGAATCAATATTACTGAGTGATTAGGAAAACATTTGTATGCTTTTCATAATGGGAGGAACAATGGCTCAAAGAGATTACTGTTGAAAAGCTGTCCACTGAAATACTGAAATCATTTTCAAGTTTAATCAATTTTTGACCTCCATCCTCGATTAATTATCATTCAAGATGCGATTATGCTCTTTGGCGAATTATTTGCAACTTATAAATTTTGTATTCATGTTGCAAATTTCATCTGTAAGTTCATGCAAATTGAGATACGATGGCAGAAAAATTTATTCGAGTGTGTCTTTCTTTATGATGCAAATTTAAGTTTTTCGTCCTTTTCGTAAAGTTTTCCTTCACAAAATCCACTTTTTTGTCGTTACTTTTAAATGTTAAACAAGAAGAATGAATAAAATATGTTTCGAAAATTGTGTTGTGTCCATGAAGCTAAAAGTTCTTTGAAAATTAGAAAAAAAATCCTTAGTGCTTTCTAAAAATTAATAATAAAAGATTGGAACGATGTCCATTTTTAAATTAAGAAAACATCCTTTGATGTTTATAGCTGCGAACCAAAATGATAACAAGATTTGCTTTTAAATAAATCAGGAAATGGAAGGATCTACTGAGAAATTTTAAATTTATTTCTCTGATTCCATCGTTGATGTTTCTGTCCTTGTTCTATTACTTTTTCCTTGGACCTGAATTACAGTGTCATTTGATCAAGAACATAGCCATAACTTTACTGTCAGGATCGCTACCCATTTTCAAATTTAACCTAAAATGATCTTTAATGGCAACGAATTATCTCAATTTTTGAGAATGCTAACCCACTCGTGCCCTCATAAAATTAATAATTATTAATAGATTTTGTGTATCCATAGCAGCAAAATTGGCAAAGCTAGAGATATCTTATTCTATGGATAAATAAATTAATAAATTGTTGAAAATCTTCATTTTATATTAATTTAATTTTGCCAATAAATAAGCTTTGAACGGATAAAATAGAGACTGTCATAAATAGCAATTGCTAAACATGTGTAGGTAGTTTAATATTAACAAAAAGCTACTTGCAAAAATATCTAATATTATTGTATACCAATCTGAAGCGAATTCCAAATTCTTTAAATGTTTTGCTTAAGTTAACTCGTAAAAAGATGCTCAAAAGCATGAATGAAATACCTCGAATGCTTCAACCTTTCTGTTCAGGAAGAGAGTGAAAAAAAAAAAATCCAAGTTAATTTATCGCATTAAAATTTTCCCGTCTAATGAATTCTGTATTCATTTAAGTTTGTTTACCTTTAATTTAAAGATTTCATTTTATTAAATATTTATGTTTATGCTGATTGTAAATTTCTTGTAAAATAGCTCTCCCGTGTTATGGATATTGAGATTTTTGCTTAGCTTTATAATTATTCATTTATAAAACTTTTCCTAGCGATTTTAATTTAAATGAGGTTTTTTGAGAAAATCAAAACAATTTTAACATTAGTTCTGTTTTCATTGATGAAGCATCTAATGAATAATAAATTTTGATTGACTTAATGTCTTGAGTATTGAAGCTCAACTTTATCATATCGAAAGCATTCAATGATATGATAGAATAACTTCCTTGATTTTGCAAATAAAGGATTTGAAGGACATCACATTTCACTTTCATTAGACATATAGTTCTTATAAATGCCCAACTTCTCCATTTAAAAAATCTCGATGCAATTTCCCTGAAGTGCTTCTTACTCAATTTATTTATCTTTCTCAATTGCTAGGATTCGTCCTAATAGAAAACTTCCCACGCTTAAGTTCTTCCTTTATTTCCATAACCAAGAAATCAATTACTATGAGAATAAATTCACAATGAAAAGCTTTAAACTGTATAAATATAAAGCTCCTTCAAGTAATGAAAATTCATTTCCGTTTAGAGGATTTCAAAAATGTAAATTTTCAATTTTAATTATTCTTACAAAACGAGCGAAAAGCTGAATATAATCTAACAAATTGTATATGAGTGGGAAAGCTTGCAACGCCAGAGTAACTTTTTACAAAAGGAAACCACAAAAGCCACGTTTCGTTGACATACAATTCACAGAAATAAGTGAAAGAAAAATTAAGGATGGGGATCCTAGGTTTTGAAAATAATGCTCAACTCAAGACTACGTCTGTCGAATTATTTTAATACTAGGAAGTAGCTCCAAAGCAATAAGATTGAAAACGGTCAGATTCAATCTTTTCAATTTATTAAATGCTTCGAAAATCAAAGACCCCCAAATGCCAAACACTTCTTCCATTCATGATGTAAAGTAAATGAAAATGTGAAGATGTAAATTAAAGATGAAGAAGAATTGAGCACCGCATACGGCAATCCAAGCAGATGTCAACGAGATAAAGAGAAAGATCAAGACATAATATGAGCATAGTGATGATGATGATGATGACAAATGTAAGGAACATAATGAAAAGGAAGAAGAATAAATTAATGTGAAAATGAAAAATTAAGCAGCAATTCTTGTCTCTCTCGTTGCTCGATTATAGCCAAAAAAAAAATATGAATTATATTATTCACTGAGGGATGCTGACTGTTATTGTCATTTCCTTGTATTGTTAAAGTACAGGAATTTCATTAAATTTATGGTGCCTAAAAGCCCAAAGCGCATTTGATGTTGCCTACATAATCATTTGTCATGAACACATTTTCATCTTCTTATCTCTCTTTCCTATCTATGGATCCATCTTATTCACTTATTCATTCTTTGTTTTGTTTATACATATTTAGATCCATATCATGCTCAGAGGAGTGTGGAGGGGAGCTTTCACGATAGCAACAACATAAATCAAAACTTCTCATCAGAACCGTCACAGCCATATTTTGATTTTTCGGTTACACGAAATATCACAACGCGCGTTGGACAAACAGCATTTTTACACTGTCGTGTCGAGGATCTGGGTGATAAATTGGTGAGGCAACATTATTTAATGTCTTTATGTGTTACTGTTCCTTTTTTTGCCATTTCTGCTCCTTTGGTCATTCATGAGAATTCATTTGATGTATGATGCGTGTGCTGTGCTGTTTGCAGCTGTGTATTATTTCTTGAACACAATGGTCATTGTGCTTTTCTGGATAAATTAGTGGGAATTCATGAGATTTTTTTTTTATTGCTTAAATGTTATTTGGATTATTTTGAAGGGGTTGAGTGGGTTGTTTTGTGGATAGAGAAATCTTTTTTGAGCATAAAGGTCTGAGTTATAAACTCTTTTTGTCTTTTTATTCATTAAATATGACTGAAAGTGACCAAAAATTACAGCAGCAAGCATTAAACTTACAAAACTTTAAGTTCATTTTTCCTGCTTTATCAAAAATTTCCACAATTACCAACATTATTTCATGTTCCTCTTTTAGCCCACTTGATGTTCTTCATATATTTTTTATATATTCATTTAATACAGATATTTCATACATACCTAGTACCTACTTTTATGATATATTATCTCATATAAAAATGATGTTTGATAATAAATCCAAGTATTTACCTTTTTTTCTTCTTTTTTACTTCCTTCCTCTCGACAGGTGAGTTGGATAAGAAAACGGGTAAGTGTTGCTGTTATTGTTGTTGTTGTATTTTTCATCCTCAATATTTTCTCATTTCGAAAAGAATATTGACGGATAAAATTATATTTTCATCCTTCATTCTCATTGTTTCTCGTTTTCTTTCTTTTATTGTCGACACAGGACCTTCACATACTCAGCACCGGCTTATCCACATACACATCAGATGAAAGATTTCAGGTAAGATATGAGATGAAAATGAATGAAAGGTCATTTGATTTATCATATAATTCATCTTCAATCCCCCGCACGTTATTGTTTGTTTGATTCATTACTTTTCATAGTTTATTTTATTGCTATTTCACAACAAGAAGCTCTTATGTCCTTGGAGTAGATTAATGTAACAAAATTGTTATCTTTACAAAACATTTTTCCTTTTTCATGCTCTTTATTGTTGTTGTTGATGAATGGAAAAAGAAAAGTTTTTATTCGACCTAAATACATGCTGAATATGTCAGAGTTTTGATATTTAATTCTGAAATTTCATAATATATTATTGTTCATAGTTAAGAGCTTCCCAACAACAAACATTTAAAATGTTTAAGAAAAATTCCGAACCACCCTCAAAAGAAAGTTCAAGGATACAAATATATAAGAACATGAACATAACTATGACCTAATCATCCTCTTGAGTAGTTGACCGGAAAATTGACAAAATTTTCTTCACAAAAAATTCTTTATTCCAAGAAATAAAACAAATTTGAATCAATTCCATTTCAGTTGATCAAAATTCTTTCCTATACATGAACATTAACCTTGTCGATTTCCCTTTTTGATTAGACGAAAATCGACTTCCTTGGTTGTTTATCTTTTTTCTCACTTTATGCCTTCTTTTTCCTTTGTTTTTCTCCTCAATGTCAATAACAATAATGTCTTGTTTATGATGGTAATACGATGAGACGCTGTTGCTCTTATCTTATTAGATAAGAGAAAAGAAGAAAATGATGGAAGCGAAATTTCTTCTCAATTTACTTTTGGGGTTTATTCGTTTATGATATAAATCATCATCCCCTAAAAAGAAATATCACGCTGATACAGGGGATCTGATCTTAAAAGCTCCCTTAGCTAAGCCACTGCTTTGATTATATCCCTTCTTCAGTAAAAGATGTCCGTCATAAGTGAAAACATCCATTTATAAACGACATAAAAAATCTATCATATACACTTTATAGAAACTTGATAAGTATACACACAAACAATGGTGGTTTTGCTTCATAGCTGAAATTAAATTTATTGATGGATATTTCGTTGCTTGTTTATTCATTTGCAGTTTGTTATTTTATTAATGATACATTCTTCCATTACTTTGTATTTATAATATATACTAATGGTAAAATTAATAATAGATTAATACATTAACTCGCATGTAATTGGATATGCGTCGTCGTCAATGTTGTTTCAGTAGCTTGCAGATGAGGGATTTTCAATGAGGATCAGGAAAATAATATTTCATGAATTTTGAATTAATGGAAAAGAAAATTTAAATCGATGCGAGAGTGTTGGTAGCATCTGTGATGCTGTTGTGCTTTTCTTTAGAATTTTTGATTTAAATTGTATAATTTTTTTAGCATTTTGTAAATCGAAGAGCTTTGGGTTTTGTTTTGAGGTTATAAAAACTTTAATAGTCAGTCATCACGGCACCATTTGGGCATCCAAAAGTCTTGTTGCTGTTTTGCGATTATCAAGGCGATTTCAATAATTATAGTTCTATCTCAAGACATAGCTCATCATCATCTACACTTAGCCATGAACAGCAAATCTAAAAAGCATAAATATTCAATCTCTGCAAAATCTCAAACACCTTCTACAAAATCCCAATTTTTAGCGCATTTTTGAAACTTGTTTATAAAAGGTAGTTTATTATCTCACTTTGTCTGTTCGTTCGGGCGGAGAAAAACTTTTTAACTAGACATCGTAGAGAGTTCTAGTTTGTTTTAATAGCTCAGGTCCATTGTTTTATTTTCGGGAAACGCATTTAAAAGTCTTGAAACAGTCTTTTTGTCCTATAATTAATGATTTTTATATTTCATATGAAAAAACACGTGATGAGAGCGTTTAGAAATTCGAATTTATTTCTACCGTTGAAAAATTTTGAACCTCAAAAAACCGTTAAATTCCCAAGCCTTTTTATATGAATTTTTTTTGCAACAGACTGTTATTTATACTTTAATTAATGCTTTTTCTGTAATTTTTGGCAAGATACTTTCAAATGCATACGATCGTTCCAAAATTTGAACTTCAGAAAACCGTTAAATGATAAAAAATTTATATAGGAGAATGAAAGATATTAAATTGATAAATATACTATAATTAATGATTTTTTGTATATCTTTTGGCGGGAAGCTTTCAAAAACTTACTGACCGATAATTAAATACTGATCGCTAACACAAAAATGCGCTTAAGTCCCTCGATCAATAACACGAGGACTTCTGTAATTTTTCTTAATATCCAAGCTTAAAATTTACATTGTTTTAAATTCTTTTATTTACTGTCTGTATTATCTGAGCTAACGAAACTGTAAGAGCTTTTAATTTCAAAAATTTCTTATTCTTTAATACGATAATTGTGTTATTGTACAAAATTCAAGCGCAAAATTTGCATGAAGATAACGTCAAAAAATATATTTTTTAATTGGAAGATGAAATAATGAATTAAGCACAAAATTTCAATTGTAAATGTGTAAATAAGATTCACCCTGATTAAAAATTCAGATAATGTTAAGGAGATGTTTTCATTATTGTTAAACATCCCAAGATTTTCTTCTTTTTCAAGGAATATACACTTGGGACATGTAAGATTGGTATATCTTAGGAGTTATTTGCACCTTGTAAAGTTAAGTTCTCTTCACAATTTTTTCATACATAGATTGTCTTCTTTCCTTCTTTGCTGAGAATCTTTAAATTATTTCTGTGAACCAAAATGCAATTCTTTGTAAAAATTCGATATCTTTTAAATTATTCAATTAAGAATATTGAACAATTCAATCTAACTTAGAAACGAAACATTTTGCATCCAAATACCTTATTTAAAATTCTCCAATAATCTTAAAATTATCGAAAATTCACATTCAATAACAATCCAATTCCGATTTAATACAAGCATCGCTAATTAAACTCAAAATCTTGTTAGTGTTCTGCCCCATGGAGAATTAAATTAACAGTAATGTCTTTTTCTTTTAAATCAATGTCAATTGATGCTTTGAATGTCATTTGCGACCTGCTTTTGTACCTGCTGTGTAGGTCGGAAAATGTTAAAAACCATGGCAACAAAATCGAATTGAGCTATTAAATTTTGCCAAAATGATTGAAAATTCTTGATCTTTGCTAAATGAAGCAGAGTCATTAAAAAATTGTGCTGAAATTTTCCGTTTGAAAAGAGATTTTAAAATTCATTAGAGCGAGAAATTTGTGTCGGTGTTTTGCTGAATGTCACAAGTCTTTAATTGGTACAGTCATTGGCTGAATCTGTGCCATGAAACGTTTATGCTTTCTCGCTATCGGGATCGGGATCGGGATTTCCCGGGATTTACCGATCCCGATAAATCCCGGGATCCCGAAATTTATCGGGATCGGGATTGAAAATCCCGGTTTTTTTGTTTAGGAAATTATTGATGTTTTAGAACCTGCTAAATACGCGACAGAAGAATTATTGCGTAAATCAAACGATTTATTAATTGCTGAAGGAACAATTAACTTTTTGCTAGACGAATTGTTGCTACAAGGAACATTATTGTCTCAAAAGGTTTACGATATGAATTGCGCTCGCATAGGTGCACGAAGAAATGGAACATTAATTGACTTAATACTTTACCTGAATAATCCTCAATATATTTCTTTAGACAAGCATTTTAAATCGTCAACAAAAGCTGCAATACATAAACTTGGCATTGACTTATTGAAGAAGTATTTTGTCAAAAACTCTACAAATGGAGCTATGGAAGCTTCAACATCCAGTGCAAATCAAATCCAACCGTCAAACATTTCTATTCGAGATAGACTGAAACTAAGCATATCTGAATATACATCATTAACAACAGATGCAGCAGCAACAGAACCAAATAACTTGAAAAGAGAGTTTAATTGGTATGACAAAAATAAGAAGAGAACCGTTTTATTAGATCAACTTTACGATGCATTGATAACAATGCAGCCGACCTCAACTCAAAGCGAACGAAATTTCTCTATTAGTAACAACATTCTTACAAAACAAAGAAAACGTTTACTTGACAAGAATCTAAATGCAATTGCATTTGTTAAAAGTTTTTTCATTAATGCTTAATTTTTATTATTATATTCACACCGTTTTCTATAACCTTTTAACTTACATCTTTATCAACATTTATTTTCTATTTTTGTTTATGTTCACATTTTTCAAAGGAAACATGGATTAAAACATCTACCTTGTAACACATAATGTATAACTAATTAATTAAGGAATAAATGACCGTATAAGTAGCAAAAAAATATATAATTTTTTTTGGGAAAAAAAGCAGAAAAATGCTGTTTTTTAAATTTTTTTACATATTCGGGATTCCCGGGATTTCCCGGGAAATCCCGAAAAATTTCAATCCCGATCCCGATCCCGAAAATTTGTCGGGACCGGGATTTCGAGAAAGCATAGAAACGTTTGATTGATAAGAATTTTTCATTTTTAAACTCGACTTTTTTCTTGACTCTTAAATGACTCAAAAAATTCATGACCAAGAGTACTCTTAAGTATCCTACGCTGTAGCAAGCACCGCTCCTATGTCTTAATGACTTCATTTTATCACTCGGATTCCAAAATTTAATTTTAAAAAGCTTTATAGATTTATTTAAAATTTCCAATATCTAAAAAAGCAGCATAAAAGTTCAATCAACTCAACCATAAGTCATCGAAAAAAATTCAATTTAGTAGCAAAAACATTACTTTTGTTGTGATTATAAGATTTATTAAGGAACGTTTAATAATTTTGCTCCATCTTACAGCTTTTTAAAAAGAAATTCGTCAGCATTATTATAAAAACCTACAATCCGTATTTTCGATAAGGGGCCATTCACTTATTACGTAACGCTTTTAGGGGGAGGGGGGGTCTAAGATTTTGTTACGGTTCAAACAAGGAAATTTTTTTTCATACAAATTTTGTTACGAGGGGGGGGGGGGGTCTAAGAAGTCATTTTTTCGCGTTACGTAATAAGTGAACAGCCCCTAAATACATTATAATTTCACACCGTCTTTGAGCTGCTTGTGTGGGAGTATGTCAAAGGTGCGATGAAGCCAAATCTCACAATTTTCATCTTCCATCAGTATAAGCTCTTTAAGTGCAGGATTGGGAGTGAAAAAAAATTCAATTTATTTGTGAGATTGAAATAATAATGATAACTTTTTGGTGCTAAATTAAGAGCGCGTGGCTTTATGATCAAGGGAGATAATTATAAAATGATGGAATTTGAAGTGAGTGGGGTTAAATGTTGAAGCGTCAACTTGAACAAAATTAATAAAATGTAAGGAGAATAATTATCACATTCCCGCAGAATTTCTGATACTTTCTCAAAGTCAAATGAAGAATGGATGTAAGATTTTCGTACCTTCATCGTCGTGACAGATGTTTGTTAATTTTCCCCATGAAATTTCGTCACATAATTAAATTGTAAAATATTCGTGTTCACAGCACAAGAAACATTTAATGAGAACCAGAAAGCAGCATGAGATTCTTGGAATTTCATGTAACACGCATTTTGTGTTCAAAATAAATGTGCTGATAAATTCTTACAGCTTTTGATGTATCATTTTTAATGAATTATATACAATCAAATGAGCTTAGGTATTCCTTTACAGATTTTTGTTTCCTTGAAATATATTTATAACATTGTATCACATTGTATATCTTTTTGATATGCGAATGTGTTCAAAATTTCTTAATTTCAGTTCAGTTTAAATTTTTTGGTTATGTGTAACTTTAAATCCATGTTTCATACTATTAAGTTACATCTAATTTAATAGATTATGACACAATATTGATGTGTGTTAATTATTTAATGTAAAATTAAGATTTGAGAAGCTTTTAATTTTGGTAATTCTGCTAACGATTCAAAGTTTTCCGACTAAGGTTCCCTTTAGAGAAGATAAGTTTTAGCAAACAAAACGTAAAAACCAACAAGAATATGAAGTTCAGTTAGGTATCATATAATATTTGCATAAAAAATAAACTGAGCATTCAACCAATTAAACATTCTCATATAAAACAAGCTTCATGTCCAAACTTTAAAATATAAATGGCAGCAAAAGTTTACAGTTCATGAATTTTCTGATTCAATTGAATCATTTTGTTTGTGCACATAAAATTAAGATTTAATGATTTTAATTGAAATGCTGTTAGAAAATTGAATAATATTTACAGAACTGCAAAATTGATTGAAATTTCAATATCCAAATAAATTAAATTGATGTCCAATTATGAAGCCTAGCTATTAACTATATCACATTTTCACAGCAATAGGCATAAACTAAAACTAATTGTCATCAAATAAATTCCCATTCATGTATTCCGCATAGAAAATTTCATTCCGAAAACCCATAATGGAAAATTGTGTAAACAAAATGCTCATAGGAATCATAACATCAATGTAAGCTTAATTGCACAAATCTCCAACATATTCATATAATAATTTCTCCCTATAGAAATCATCTCGTTTTTATTTAATATCTGTATACGCAGACATGAATGAGCTGTAAAATTCCCAAAAGCTATGCTGAATAAATTTCAATATTATGACATGATAAGTTTCCCTTTGAAAGGCTAACGTACAATGACATTCATAAAATTTTTTGTTTAATATTCTAATAACTTTCGATATTAGTATGAGTTTTAGGGATTGGTGAGATGATTAGAGCGTTTTTTGAGAGCAGCTTTACAGACTTGTTACTGCTCAGAGGGGTCTGCGATTTTTACGAGGCCCCTATGAGTTTAAACGTGGATTTTTACCTCAGCTTAATGCCTTCTATTACCAAGTATTGCCTAAGGTACCTTGCATTCACAAGAGTAGGGTTAGTAGCTACTAAAAAGTCTCACTCAAAGCATATCTTAAAGAAACTAAACCATAATAAAGTATATCTAGTTATTAAATAGTTTAAAGCAGTTTAAAGTTCACTGTACAATCTAGTATCCTTCATTAAAGCTGACAATACGACAGTGAGGCAATAAAAGCACATTTCAACCAAAAAATACAGTCAGTAATCAGGAGAGATATAAGCTCTTTCCAACCTCCTTCCCTTCACTGCATATCAAACTGACCATTCATAAAATATTTACAGTATTCCCTTCTTTTCAATTGCCATAAATTTTCATCTCCCTTCACACATCCTCTCCATCTTTCCCTTTTATTTTGTTATGTTATGCTTTACATTTTTACATATAATTCAAATTGCATTCGTATCATTTCATATTCATGTCTTATGTGTATCCTCAAAGCTGATTTATAGCACAAAATTGTTTTGATTTTTCCCATAGAAATTCGAAAAATTTTATTTAAATTCCAGTCCAGTTTCATTGGCTTTAGTCAATTTCATATTTGAGACGAAGCACTTAAATTGAAAATAACTTTGTCATTGCAGATTGTGGAGCATGAGCCGTCCGAGAATTATACATTACAAATAAAATTTGCCCAAATACGAGATGGTGGGGTAAGATGATACATTTGAGATTTATTTTATTTTTTATCAGATTAGATTTATGCTGGGTTTTGTATGGAGATTTAAATATTTTTCATCGGATCCGAAGAAGCCTGATTTGATTTTGATTGAATATTTTTTTTTTTTATAAATATCTGAGGAATAATCAAGCAATATCCGGAATTTGTTTGAATAAATTTAACAAGAAGTATAAAAAAATATTCTAATGACTTTTTCCCGTCCTTTGATATGCGGAATCTCCATACAAAAACATTAAAATCAAATGTCTATCGCTCATTTGTCTTCTTTTTCCTTTATTTCTTTTTATATAGATTTATGAATGTCAAGTAAGTATCAAAATAACTGAGAGAAAGTTTGCATAAAACTGACCATCAAAATAAATAGATTTAAAGCGCATCGACTCTACTTTTTGTGCTGATAAATGATAGCAAGCCGTTGAGACTTTAGTGGGCTCAAGCAACCTGACTGAAACTCAGACTCGATGCTATGACAAAATTAAAGACAAATAAAGAATTTCCGTCGTAGAAAATTAATAAGAGTAAATATTTTTCAATTATATCCCCTTTGGATTAAGCTACAGCTCTTCTTATCCACAACATTACTCAGGTGGAAAATTAATTGGTGAAAAAAAAAGTTTTTAATGAAAATATTTCATTCGATCCTCTTTAATTATTCATCATTAATTTTCAATAAAGTTAAAGCCACCGAATCTTGACATTCAAACTAACATCCAATAACATCTCATTGTTCATTAAAAATTTCAGTTCCAATAATGAAAATTGCGACAGCAGTAAAGAAGACATAAACCCCAAGACCTTTTTCTAACAGAAATGTGCTATAAATACATTCAGTTATAAATCAATTTTTTGATGGTCCTCCATTCATCTTTTCATCCATTTTCACACAATACACAAACTTCATTATTCAACAATTTTTCTTCATCATTCAATTTTGCTCTTCCGCTTTGCTATTTCTGACATTAATTCACTGACAATTTCTTTTTTGTATTTTCTTTAGGTTTCAACAGAGCCAAAAATGTCATTGGCTTATCGTCTTCATGTTGTAGGTGAGTTCTGTGTGGATATACACAAAAAAATCTAGTGGAGCTTAAAACTCAATTAATCACTCAATTCCGATAAAAAAAAGAGAGATCGGAAAGGTAAAAGAATTTTCCTCATTAACTTCCGAAACGTTCATTGCTCGAGTAGAATTTAATGATTCATTATCGTGGTTAATTGTGAATTATCGTTTGCGTTGCCTTTTTTTTATAAATTTAAAATGAAAAATATATCTCTGTACTTGATGGTGAAAATGAGTAGTACAGAGGAGTAAATTAAAATTATTCTAAAATTATTATAATTGAGATACATAAATTTTCACCTTGTTTTTATGCATGCCTTAAAATTTTTATTAAATACTAGAAAGACAGTGCGTTAAGAATCTGTTGAATACTAGTATTTAAATCTACAAGATTGTACATTGACAAACTGTTGGTTCTGGTGTGTAGATCACAACTTCTCTTGTGCTATACGTGGGTTTTCTCTTTAGACTTCAGAATAGAGCTTAAGCCATTTGATGCTCACACTAAAGTCCAAAACTATTATGCAACTAAGCCACTTTAGCTTTACTATAATTCCAACAAAAAGTGCTGAATAAGCCTCCAATCTACAGACATTCAACGATAACTATACAGCCTTTATATTCATGAAAAATTCAACACGCACAATGCCAATGAACGGAGTGAAAATAGAAAGATTTATGATCTTATATTTTATTAAAATTGAAATGTTCATTAAATTGGAGCGTTTCGTTAGGAAGGAAATGAATAAATTCAAAATAAATTTTTATTTTCGTTCTCATTTTACTCGGTTGTGCTCATCAAAGCACCCCACAATGAGTGAAAATTAAGCTTTAATTATTTATCTTGATATTCTGTTTTTCATTTATTTTCATGCCTCTTGATCATCATTATTTCGCCATTTACCAAATAACAACGAAAAAAAAAATAATAGAGGCGAAAGCAATAATTTTGGGACAGAGTGATTTATATGTAAAAATGGGAAGTAAAATAAATTTAACGTGTGTGATAAGCCAAGGGCCGCATGATTTAGGAACAATTTCGTGGTATCGAGGTGAGTACTTGAATTATCGCGATCCTTCCTTGCTGTGTAACTTTTATTGTGTGTTAATGAATACTCGTACCTGGTTAGAAATTTACATAATAATGGGAACAAAGAAATAAATTTTAATGAGTTAATTCATTGAGATATACGAACTGGGAAATGTTATTGTCGAATTTTTGTTTTTATATTAGGTTGGGGTTGGATGATGAATTTTTACAGCCTAGCAGTTTGTAATTCTAATTACAATTTTAATTAGTATTGTTACAATTGTTAACAATATGTTTAATTATATCCTTTGGTGTGTGAGACAGTCAATTCTATTGATGTTTATAATTAAATTGCAATTAAATCAACTCAATGTGTGTATTTTAAATACCCAATTAAAATTAATTTAAGAAAAAAGAAAGGATTCTTTAGAGATGGTTGTTTATAAAATAACAAATACAACTTTTCCTACAAAAGGTCTTAACTTGGTAATTTAAACTGATTTTGTTTGTTTTTTTTTTGGAACAAAAATAAAACAATCACAATGACTGTTGGCAAAAAATCACTGACACACTTTAATATTCTGAGTTTCATGATTTCTCAAAATCGACCATTATTTATTGATCTGCATAATCCAATTTCATATAGATCGATTTCCTACGCTCAACATCACATCGATAAAATACCATTACAGCATGAATATTAGATTACACCAAACTGAGTTTTCCAAATAATTCCCACAAAATCTCATGTGGGCTGAATTTATGCAAAAAAGCTAAATAATATATTTATCTCCACAAAACATTCGCATATGTGACTGTTCAATCAAACCGTAAACTCCAAAAATTCATCAGAAATTGTTTGTGCTGGTCTATGACTAAATCTAATGTGGATATCGTTTTAATTCTACTTGAAAACTAGTTAATTTAATTATTTTCTATTCTATGGTCCATCTTGTTGTTCTTTCTGTGGACATATATAACAGCATGAAGGAAAAAAAATGTTTACCTATGTCAATTTCAAATCACCTCTGTCAATACCCATTAGAGTTTAGATGTTGTTCTGGAAAGTGCCTCAGAGAATTGCCTGAAGAGAGTCCAACACTAGTCAAGAGTTAAGAGCGTAGACACTTCACTAGATGCCGCTGCTTGCAGTTATCTACTTTCAACGATATGTCACTAGGGCTTAGACCTAGATCATGACTACGATTTTTGAATCTTTTAATACACCATGAGGAACCGTTCGTTATTTCCGTTTCGTAATATGAGATCGACCCGGTCCCTAAGATAACCAAAAAATATAAATAAATTCTAAATTCTAAACACAAAAACTCAGCTATTATCAATCAAGTTTATCCCCATCCGATCAGCAAAATATCCTCTTCGAAATTCTATTAAAGAAATTAAAAAAAAATTCATATCGAATAAATTGAAAGATTATTTTTAACACATGTGACCCAGAAGTGATTGATGGTGTGAACAAGAAGAACGACTGAGAAATCACGTGCTGAGCATAAAGCATATAAAAAAAACTTTAATAAAACTGTCAAACTGGGTTAAAAAATTTCCCAATCCCGAAAATAAAGGAACAAACTTTTTTTACATCGAACATTACATATTGGTGGTTTTTTCACTTAAAACTTTCAAGTATGGGGAATGTGTGAGAGAAATAAAAGGAACTCGGACAGCTGAATGACATTGCGGTATTTTCTTCGTATAAAACTTTTACTGGAAAATTATTCGGAACCACAGGAAGAACACACAAAAAAATAAAAATTGAATGTTGAGAGAAGGAAGAATGAAGAAGAAAAAAAAATTCAAAGTCATTTTGTGATGTTGTAAGCATTAGAGGATTTTGTGTGAAATGGCAATTAAGAGAGGAGAAAAACTTGCTCTTTTTAAGCAATTGGATTAATGATCTTTTAAGTGGAATTTTCTTTTTCTGCTTGAACTTTTCATTGGTAAATGTGTTTGGAATTAAGGGTTTTTAAATCCTTTATTGGAAAGTTTTTTTTCTCACCACATTTCCTTGTTTGATTTCTCTCTTATATTTTCTTTTTTACTGGACATAACTGTTGTAGTCATGAAAATGGATATTTTTTTGCTTACCTTTTTTTTCTCGATAGACCGAAAGCCATCAATAATTGGGATTGTAGATTTTTTAAAATAGAGGCAAATTCAAATATTTTTAATTGAAATAAAGCAGCTATGTGCGGCTAATGAGAGTTGTTGAGGCTGTTTAATTACTTGTGTTCTGGAATTATGGATGAACTGTGGATCGTGTTTCTCTTCTGCTTTTTTCCCAGACATGCTTGCTTTGATGGCACCATGAACGTCAAACAGACACTGCTTAAAATTAAAAAAAAAAGTTTTTCGTTAAAAGCTACAAACTAAGAATTTTACTCATATAACATATCCTTCATACACCAACATCTATAACCACATTAAGTAAACTTTCGACGGATGTATAAAGTTCAAATGAAAGATCGGAAGGAAACACATGAGCCCATTGGGAATATTCTAATAATATTTGATATCTGCATACTCAATAAATTCCAGAATAACTCGACCGAAAAATTCTTTCATCGCAAATAACTTCTTATATTGATCTACATTCCATATCGCATTCATCTTCATCAATTTTGTTTCCTTAAAGAAACTCAATTTCCTTGTCGATGCATAAATTCATCTTTATTTTATTTTTTGTTGAGCATATGAAAATTTCTAACTGGGTATAAATATTGAATGACTGAAAAGTCTCAATCAATCCACAGCAAAGCATATAATTTTTTTTTAACACACTCATGTATACATTTCCTTCCCTTTCCGTTTCCTTTTCTTATTTTCTTCATTACATAAAAAAATAAAGGTTCTGTAAGAATCAATCAAACTCAACATAATGACTTGGCATTACCTTATCCTCAACGCGTATCTGTAGAAGTTAAATGGACTGAGGCTCTAACATCTAAGTAAGTAGGAAGTTTTTCAATGTAATGGGTCAATTATTGTGGCTTTATTAAAGGGTTGGAGTGGATTTGTGTGAAGTTAGATTGAAAGTAACTGGTTTTCAGAATTAAAGCTACATTTAATCCTGTAGAGTAGTTGGTAATGTTCCTAGCATGAGATCCTTTTTCAAAAAAATCACCAAAAACTTCACACAAATCCAAACTTATCCCACGAGTGTCAGTGACAAGAAATTAATGGCTATTTTCATAGAAAATTAACAAAACCATTAATTCGGTTGACCCAAAAAAATTAATTTTAATGACATTCATTATCACCATAAAAAATTATTTTTCCATTCTTCTTGTTCTTTACCTTCGTCTGCTTCCGGAATCTTTTAAAAAAATATATTGTAGGTTAAAAATATTAAATGCACGTCTTTCTGATAGCGGCAACTATAGCTGTGTTCCTTCAATAGGTGAACCGAGTAGTGTTATGGTTCATGTAATCAACGGTATGTATGATCACACATAAAATATTACTTATGCAAATTGAATCATGCTGTTGTAAGGAAACTTTATTGTAAATACATTCTAATGTTTATTTATTTTATTCCACATAACAATTACACAGGTGAGCATCCACAAGCGATGCAAAAATCCGGTAGCTTTAAATTTCATCAACTCAATAAATGTTACATCATCGCATTTATGTTTCTTACATCGTTTTTCATAAAATTCAATTTACAATGTAGAATAGCAACAACATTATTATTATAGATTGATGATGAAGTAAATTTTATGTATGCATAATGTATCGTATGGTATAAGTTTTCTCCTTTCTAACCCCTTTTTCTTCCTGAATATTGTATGCCATACTTATGAAGCGAAGGCTCCCATGGCATTATACAATGTATGTTGAGTTAATTGATGAAAATGAAAATTGAAACGAGAAAATATTATAAATATATGATTGAGGATGGCAAAAATCCACGAAACAATTTACTATGACGTTGTTGCTGTAGAATGTCTTCTTTTTGTTTGGAGAAAATGTATGTGGAAGTGGAAATTTGTGTGGGTTTGTTGCTTGGAATTTAATTTAATTTTACAAAGATTTTCGACTGAGTTCTTCGGAACTTATTAATTGAATATTATTGCGAGTATATACACTGGAGATAATTTTGTGTGACTGAAGCTAGCCGGCGTGTTGTAACCAAATGATTTGAAATTTGTTTAAATTGAAAAATTTGATTTTGAAAAACTGTTTCCCTTTTATAACTTAAAATGAAAATAAATCAAATTTAGGCGGTCCAATTTAAAATATTATTGAAAATATGAAATCATTGAAAAGAGTACATAATATTCGATGGATGACATGGTTTGGACGAAATTTTCAAATGTTGGTTCATAACTAGAAGTAGACATAAATCAATTGCGGACGGTCCAATTAAAAATTATTTTTGTAAATTTGGAATTCTTAATGAAAATAGATATTTTTAAACATATACCATGACATTGACGATTTTTTGAGGAAAAAATTTTTTTGACTGTCCACAGCTTATTTTGGACATAAGTCACTTGTGGACGGTCCAATCCAAAATATTTTTAAAGATTCTGAATCCTATTAAAAAGGACTTATGTTTAGACATGTCACATTCCATATTAAAAATTGACCAATTTTAAGATCCAGAAAGGTACGGTCTGTTCCGAAACTTTGATAAGCCATAACTCCTGTCCGTTACTTCCGATTTGGAAAATTTTTGTATGACAAAATTATGAGATGTGTTTTGATATATAATATGTCAGTTAAAGCTTGTTTTCAAGATTCTTACCAACTGAAGTTAGCCTGCAATATACCCAAAAGTTGAAGCTGCTGTAGCTTGTCAAAGAAGACTTGACGAAATTTGACGATATTATTACGAAATTATAGTATAGGTTTCAAATCATTTGGTTGCAACACGCCGGCTAACTTCAGTCACACGATAATTTCGGTTACTATCCTCAAATGATGGACGTTATAAGATTTCCATAGAAAATCTTATATAAGGAAGTGCTAGACAACTTAAGATCCCTACTTTCTTAGTTTTATTTTGAAAAAATTCAGTTAAATTCCAATCGATGGTTTTTCACATTTTTTTTTCACTTCCAAATTTTTTTTGTAAGATAAAATTCATACTAGGATAAAAGGAAAATCAATGACAGAAGAAAATAGTTTTTGATTTAAATTATATTAAATGATAAAAAAAAAATTGAAAATGTATTAAATGGAGAATAAAGTCTCTTAATGATAAATTTCAATAATTTAATTTGGTTGATGAAAAAAAAGCAGAAAATAATTTCAGCACGTAATCGTAAAGTAATGTTGTAAATAGCAGAAATTATAAAATAAATTCTCATTTGGAAATAAAAACAAGAATTTCATTAAATAATTTTCTCTCGTAATTTTTTAAACCTTTCAATTTTCAGCAATTAATGAAATTAATTTACGGACATTACAGATTACAGCGGATGTATCATTAATTTCAATGTCCAAAGTATTTTTTTAATGTAAAATATTTTATTTCAGACAATTGAAATAAGCACCTTCGGGCAATGTAAAGATATGTGTTAATTTCCTCATTTACACCGTGAAAAATAATTATTTTTTGAATGAAAATTGTATCTTTTGAAATCTGGTGTGAGTTTTTCAGATTTTTTTGAGAGAAAATTGTTTCGAAAAAAATTTTCAATTTGCATTGCCACTTATTTGCATACTTTCGTGTGACGAGACCCACTAAAAATTATAAATTGAATGCAAATCTGATAAATCTGGTAATTATTTTTCAATAAAATATGCTTTAGCACATTCAAAATGGATTAAATTCAATTATGAGGTATTAAAATTATCAAAGTTTTAAAATATAATCTGTCACTCATTAAAATTTTTGGGGTTATTTTAATAATTGGAATTGAAATTTTATTATTTTTAACAATTTCTCCTGGGTTTCTTTCAGTCAGATTATCTTCAATTCTAGAAAAATTTGAGATTTCAATTCTTCTTTTAGGATTTAAAAGAGTTCAAAGTTTCATCAAGCTTGAGCTCAATTTCAATATTTAAATTTATATGAGAAAGAATTCAGATCTGCACTTTTTGCAAGAATCAGACCAAGGGCCGTTCACTTATTACGTTCGCATTTTAGGGGGTTTTAAAAATTGTAACAAAATGTAACATAAGGGGGGGGGGGGGGGGGGGGTCAAGAATATGTAACGTTGTAACTGTAGTCTGTCTTTCAAAAAAAAGTTAACGAAAAAAATTTGTTTACAAGTTCACACCAAAAACATTTTTTAAAATTTTCCACCTTTTTATCAAAATAAAATAAATTATGAACGTTCAAGGGGGGGGGGGGGGGGGTGTTGTGAGTTGTAACATATTGTAACAAAGGGGGGGGGGGGGTGAAAAAAGTCGTTTTTTTGCGTAACGTAATAAGTGAACGGCCCCCTAGCTTATAAATTTTGTTGTTATTCAAATGACAGTAAATGCGCTTTAATAAAGAACCTTCTTACCTTTCTTACTTCCTGAGTTTCCTTGCACAGCTAAAATTGAATAAAAAAACTTTTTAAACGCGTAAAAACCAAAGCTGTCTCATTTTTTCAAAAAAAAAAAACTAATATTTAATGAAAAGGCGAAACAAAGTTTTTTACATCAAGGATCATTAACTTTACAATCCCCAATAGTTCGCTATATTTAACTACATTATCAGAATATTAATAATCAGTTCGTGATGTTACAGAAAATATTAATAATCAACTGATGTCTGTAAACTTTTTAACATGAAATCCAGCTTCAACAAAAAACAAAATCCCGTCGTCTCAAGTTAAGTTTTAAGCAATAGATACAAGTAAAAATGTAATTAATCAACGTTCAATTCACACGATGACTTTATCATGTTCTTCTAGACTCTCCCCAAAGACTTTTCATCAAAGAGCTTTTACAAGATGAACATAGAAATAAAATTGCATAGACGTGTTCATTTTGATGGTTTTTGTGGGAAACTTTTGATGAAAAGGCGATACTTTGGTGGTTCTGGGTATGAATAAATTTATCTGTGTTGGCTAGACAAGTGTCTGCAGCTGCCCACTATGCTAAGAGCTTTTAAGGTGTTGTAATAATTGAATGTGACGTAATTTAAAGTCACAGATCCCACTGCACTCTTTTTATTCTTCTTTTCTTATAAAACAACCAGCAGTATCATTTTTAAACCTTTCCAGTGAAACACCAAAAAGTTTTTAATTTATTCAATACATTTAATTAAATTCAGTTCATTGTACTCATCATTCATAGTAAATAACAAGGGAATCAACATCCAAAAGGAATGGTAATGGAAACGAATGATTTTCTTCAAACGACCTTTTATTCTTGGAGGGAATTTACACTTCATTTACTTATCATAAATTACAGAAAAAGGAAAAACTCCATTTAAGGATTTTCAAGGCTGATGCCGTATTAAAAAAAAGAAGAAATTTGTCCCAAAAAAGACTAAAAATATGTTCAACGTCTGTCATTTGTCACAGAAGTTAATTTCGTTACTCGCACAACATATGAGAAGGCATATTTATGACTGATGTGTATCTACAGAAGTAGAAAAAGAAGATATATGAAGAGAAAAAATAATCAAAAAGTCATTCAACAGTATTTTGGATGTGAAACAGCAGCAATGAAGGGATGGAGGATTATTATCGTACATATTACGAGATGTATGCTCGTTTAAAATAATTTTTCAAATGTTATGGGGAAATAAGAAGAATTATGACGAAAAGGCTTTTCCACATTTTGATGGTGCTTAACTTTTGAGATCGGAGCTTATTTTTTTGCTAACAAGCATAGCTTTAGCCTTAGTCACATTCATCTTTTGTGGACTCCCGGCAGCAATGTGAGCTTTGAAACTTATTCCTTTAAAATGCAGGCACCATTCATTTAGAACCCTAGTGATATAAACTTATATGGTTAGGGCATAAACTAGGATATGGTCTAATCTGAGTAACTGAGGTTTTACAAGGAATCAAAGCCATAGTCAGAAACTTAATAAGATTTAATATTTCATCAACAGAAAAGTGAGCTAACCTCAACCTTTAAATTTTCAATTCTCAACTCATAAAATATCAAACTTTTGAGTCAGACATGAGCATACAATTATAAATGATACATCTTTTTAATTTAATGTCAATATTTGTGTAGGATTTTTTTTGTGCATGAGAAAATATTATTTTTTTTCTTTCTGGTTGTTTAAGTAAAAAAATTGCTTTTTAAAAACATTTCCGAAAATAAAATTAAATAGGAAATGCTGCCTTTTTTGTTTTCAGCTTTTCGTGTGGTTTTTATGATAAATTATTTGATTGGTGAGAATGTGAGAAGCTGTGAAACCTCAAATGAAAATTTTTATTTGCTGAGTAATTTTTGTACTAAGGAGTTTTTGGCTTTGAAGCTTGTTGTGTACTTAGGATTCTTTAATTATTTAATTATTTTTGTTGGTCTGCTGGGTTTGTATAAACTTGACCTAGTTTTATTCTTGATAACTGAATGCCTGGGTGTATAAAATGAATGAATTGAAATGTGTTGGATGAATAGAGTAATTGTGAAAGTTGCAAAAATAAATTAATGAATAGTTTAAAGTATGAAGTCTGCAGCTACATGCTTCCAATTTATTTTGCAATGTAAATTTAAAAAAAAAATAATGAAGAAGACGAGTAAAAAATTTAAAGACATTTATTATGCTGATTTCTGTGACTCTATTGTAACATTTAAAGTAAAGCTTTCGTTTTAGAAACTTTTTGACTTGTTAAGGTAGACATTTGTTGCTATCATTTGAGCAGCATTATCAAAATAATTGAAATTTTTCAAGAATATCAAAGCAAAAATTTATACAAATACAAACCAAAATAATTTCCATCTTCAGAACCTTCAAGGTTAAAGAGGAAATTCTTCAAATCAGCAAATACTAGGATTTTTAGCTCAAATTCCATTTCCATCATTTTGAAATAATTTTCAAAAACTCGTAAAGATGAAATTGTAAAGACGATTGTGTAAAGTCTTTAATTAAATGAAGGATGCGTACCCAAGGAGGGTAAACTTTTAATAAGATGGAGGAAGTTACCCTTGAAAGCACTCACTTATAAGGCCACAAGAGGTCCTTCTATTGCTTGGTGTTTGACTTATGGAAAGGGGGAAGGGGAAGGTTGGCTATCATTTTCCACACAAGCTTCATTTTTATCTGACTTGCCAGTAATTTTCGTTTGTTTTAGTTTTTCAACATTTTCTTCTTAACTGCTGCCATTCTCAAAGTATAAAACTTTTTGGATGAACTTAATTAGAAAAGCTAAATGTTAGTTCTTGAATGGAAGTCAGACATGATTTTCAGCCTTTTCAACTGAATGAAATATCAAAGGTAAGTAATAATAATTTCTCAACTTTTAATTTAAATCTACTTCTTTTCTGTAAATAAAGGAACTGAGCATTTGGTTGAATTTTCATGTCTTCTTCCTTCTCTCATCCGTGCGAAAAGCAGATTTTCCAAACAAAATTTATAATTTTCACAAAACAAGA